AATGCGGTATATTCTCAAATGGATCGCCGCTATTTTCGTTCTGACATGGGTTATTCTTACCGCTCAACTGCTCTGGACGTGCGAGGGGAAAAACGCGGATTGGGGCCCAGGCCATCTGATATGTGTAATGCCCTTGAGAGTTGCGATCGTACAATTGACCAGTGAGTTTCAACATCATGGCTTTATGATGATTTGTCTCATTCTTTTACAGCCGATACGTTGAGCGACGTCATCTTAATTGTAGCGCCCCTCCGTCTTGTCTGGAATATAAAGTTATCTCGCCCACAAAAGATCCGCATTATAACGATTTTCTCCAGCACGATAGCTATGACCATTTTTAGTCTTAATCATGCTTGTTGGCTGATAGTAGACGGTGGCGGGTTATCTGAGGCCCTGGCGGCAGTCATCCAGGTGTGTATAGGGTTGCCTCTTCGCGTCCTTTTTGCTGACCTTCAACTCGACTAAGAATTCCGTTAGTCTGATTGTTTGCAATTTCAGCGTCATAATCGCCTTCATCTTCCAAATCGCGGCGGAAGATGCAAGGAGCTCTTACCATGTAGAAGCTGGGAGCCTCTCTCTCCGGTGCAAGGTGCCTAGCGGTGTGCCTTCAGGGACAGGTGTGCGTATTGAGCGGACCGAAGTGATAACTTTGGACAGCCTTGGTTCATTGCACGGGAATACGACTAAAGTCGGTCAACCTTTTGACACGGATAGCAAGGATTTTTTGACGGAGAAGGACTGCACATGAAGGACCGCACTTTAGACATCTGGAAAAATGCTCCTTCAATTTTTGAGGTACTGCTTCACGTAGAAATGACGCTCGAAGATCGTAATCACGGAGCTGTAGATGCGACGATGGTACTCTCGAGTTTATTTCTTGATGTTTGAAAAAATATTGAGATCGGGCCCCGAAGCAGGTCCTGTGGGTGCAGGGGGGAAGCGGTGTCAAAGCTATGTCCAATCGAAGATCTATATAGCGTAAGAAAGCAGCTCGAAAGAGCTCCTTTTCTTGCTCTCATTTTGAACCTTAATGAAACCGGATCGACGCTACTGAAACAAGGAGGGCCACTTCTGCAAGCTTCTGCAAAGGAACCAGTCAGAAGCGTACAGGCACATTTAGGCGATGAAATTTATTCATAGATAGATTTCTAGTCAAGCCCACAGTCAATCTGGTGATTTTCGAGCAATCCTCGCAATCCACTCTATACCGTCGACTCGGAGAAAGGAGCGTTATGGCTTACTGTTGGTTCTCGTCAAGGGTTTCAGGTATGCCATTCCTGGGGAGTTGTCGCCGTTAGAGGATCCTATGGGGCCTGAGGAGGAGGGGAGACGGTTGTTATGGAGGTTCCGGTGAGGGGATTGATTGGTATATTCCAGTATAAGAATGAGCAGGGGTGAGTCGTTTCTGGTTGCGTCTTTTGGCCGTTTGACGCTGATTTCTTTCTTTCTTTTTTCTTTTTTTTGGATAGGATGGTCAAAGGATGGTCAACCATATACGCTAGTCGTGTTTTTACCGCGCCCCCAAAACCGCGTTAGAAAATGTTTATGTAATCTTCGGACTTTGAAACCGCGTCGCGTCAATATTCCCTCGTCCCTCTGGGCCCTTTGACGCGTTTATAGCCCCAAAACTCCTCCTAGCCTTGCAAATGGAATTCATATCCCATTGAATTGCTTCCTTATATCAATAAAAATGTTCGAAGCGTCCGATCACCCAAGAAAACGCCTACAATCCAAGCTCCTGCAGCACTAGACTTCCTCTCAGCCTTCCCATAGCATCTCCACTCAGTTCGTCACATTCCAGAGCTTTGGCGCCTGTAAAATCTTCTCCTAAATGTCTACTGTCATCTTTCATCCTCCACCTCGTCAGACCTCCATTCTCTTTCCACTACCACCTTCAGACGATCCTTCTACAAGCGCATTTGGCGGGTACGGGTCCCGAGACCGTGGACCATAGTCTTGAAGGACTTGCGCAACACTGAGCTGAGCAGATCTAGGAGCTCGTCGTTGCCACTTTGCGGCATTCGTCATATATTTGAGCCTGGCACTTGTTGTTCGAGGTTCGTTAACCGTTTCTTCAAAAGGTTCAGCGACCGGATCAAATAAGATTGGGCCATGTCGTCATCGTTTACAGCTCTTGTGGCCTGCCGTTTTTTGCGTTGCTTGGCTACTAGAGTGGTTCTCGTGAGGTGTTTCGTTGCACTGTGATCAATGTATGGGTTTGAATGATGAAATCAAAGAGCGCTGATAAATGACTCAAGTAGTAAGCCCATGAGTCGTGAAGAACACGGCCGAAATTCGATGGGAAATGAATTTGGATCATGATAAGGAATGTGTCGAGTGTTGGAGACAGATGCGAGCCGGAAAGTGATGAGCGTGGTCGAAAGGCGTGGTTATCTGAGCGTCGTTCAATTTGGCAAATGAATTCACCAAAAGTAAAGAAGTATAACATCAAGTTTAAGGTGTATTGGAATAGAAATGCGTGAGATATCACGTCGAGAGCAAACGGCAAGGAGGCAATATTGACGCGATGCGGTTTCAAAGTCCGAAGATTACATAAACATTTTCTAACGCGGTTTTGGGGGCGTGGTAAATAACAGACTTCATATATCGTGAACCAAGGTATGACTTCACATATATCGAAGTCTGTCTAGGAGAGACTACCAAATATGTGTACTAACCTCTCAAAATAAGTTTGATTAACCTGAACTGTTGTACTTCTTCCGGGAAACAGGCTGACCATTTATCCAACTCCGATAGATGGTCTGTCCCTGTGATTTCCATGCAGTTTGATGGCAGTGGGTCCACATGAGGTCGCAACTCAGCTCAAGTAAGTTATCGCCTATAAAAAGAGAGCTGTGAAATCGTGAGCAGAGAAATGTTTTCGGCGAACCCTCGATCGATATTCAATGATAATTTTTGTCAAATTTTTGTTGAGTTTCTGAGCCTAGCTACTCTAGCGTCAGTCGCGGATTGCGGAGGCAAAAAAGCTCAAGAGCCCTGACGTTTATTTTGCGAGGCCCGGATCAGCAATATCTTCGATCTATGTAAGCATTCGATCTATGTAAGAAAATGGTACTTAAAACATTTAGCTTGCACAGACTTTTCAAATTTCAATCCCAATCTTTGGCAGAACCATTTGAATTGACTAAATATCATGAAATTATTCTGAACTCGACGACTTTAGGTGTTCCAACGATGGAGTCACGATTTTTTAAGATTGCTGATCGCGTCAAACACTGTCTCACGCCCCGTCACGTGTCAGGTTGCCGCCGCTGACGCTCATCTCTTAGGCTCATCATGAGCCCCTTGCTTTTCTAGGACAACGGTCTCGTCTAACTTCTTTCGAAATTCGGGTTTTGCAAACCTGGCCAGCTATCACGCCCACTTGGATCTCTCACAGTTGAACACGACTCCACGGGAAAGTGACCATTAGAGTGATTTCTGGAGACTGAACTTTTCAGTCCCACTAATTGAATGGTCTTTGAGGAGGAGGTTTGTGAGAGGACGCGCCCGATAAGCTTTGAAACGCTCAAGGTGCGTTTGTTTCGTCTCATTGACCCATTCTCTTCGTTGATATATCCTGCTGGAACATAAGTCGGGCAACTTTTGCTGAATGCCAATTTTTTATATAGGGAGAGCAGCTACGAAGCTTTGGCCCACGCCTTACATGTAGACGGCTCCGCCTCTCGCTCAAGGGGCTCCTTCGTTTCCAGCTTTCGTCCCCTCCCCCACACTTATACGTTAGGAACGTCGAAACTATTTTTGGTCGAAGTTGAAGTGCGCACTCCGAATCATTAATTCCTCATCCCCTACCTTACCCATCATCAGGACGCTATCGCGGTCAAAGCTGCACAATAGCACACCGTCCATTCACCTACTTTGAATAGCCCGCTTGGATTCCGGACCTGAGCCAACAACGATACGGACAGATTTACGGGACTCCTGGTGGATTGCTCATGGTTGAGCCTCGAGTTGGCGTCCAGTTGCGCGGATGACATCAAACAGTACCTGTTCGAACGCTAGGTGAGTTTCGTTCAGCCTTTTCCACTCTCACATCAGCACCTCGGGGGTTGGCCTTCTCCATCCCCTTCTTCAGCTCTTCTATGCGATTGGCAGTGGCCACTCTCCCCGCTCCGATCTCTCTGTCAAAAATTAATCCCGTTCGCTATCCTTCTCATTGTTCACTAAGACCCCTCATTCGCACAGTAAACTCTCGAATATATCACTGTCCCGTCCCCGGATGACGACACCCCTTCGCTACCGATCGCCATAGTATGTTTTTTTTTCTTCTCATATCCTCTCAACCTCGCCATTCCCAGAATCCGCTTCAACTCAGTTTATGAGATTTTCCTTTCTTTGTCCTTCTGTCGTCTTCATTCCCTCTTTTTTATGCTGTTCGACAACCACCTGCTACTTGGTGTTCGGAACGGTTTCAAGTCGAGAGTCCTTCTTTTTGGACCCTGTGTTCCGTTTGCTTGCGTTCGTGATCTCATTTGTTGGGCCAGGTGCTGTGTTTGTTATGTTCTTGCTGCCTGCATTTCAGACTTCTGCTTCTGTTCGAAAGCCACTCAATCTTATTGCGGTTTTCCCTTTGTGGTCCTTGACTCTATCATACGCCCAAGTTCTCTGTCAGGTGACTACTCGGACGGCGCCTCTCTTGTTTACCTCTTGGGGCACGTTTCATCTCTCCATCCACGGTTCCCAAGCATCTCATTGTCCCCTGTCCTTGTTTCAGTCTTTCTGCTTCGGCCAGTCCTCATACACGTGGGCTCAGGAGGCCAGGCCCACGTTCGCGCGTTCACATTCGTTATGAGCGTCAAAATGAGTCCTCGTGGACAGGCAACGTTGTGAACGGCTGCCGAAAAGAGTTTTGCAGGCGTTCACCTGATCGTCTTCTTCGCGCTTAGATGATAAGGATACCTCTTGCTAACCCATTCAATCAACCCGCCGGCGTCATGCTTTCCAACTTCCCGGAACGCAAGAGATCCTACTGGATGAGTCCCAAAACACACGGGTAAGCTGATGATATGCATAGGTCGGATTTGTTTGCAGACACCCTTTCTTTTCGCGGTCCAAATTCCAGTGATTACGTGAATGTTGCTGCAATGTTGGGAAGAAGTGACTCGGTCATACCCATGCACTGTCTCATCCCTCAAGATAAATTCCGGGGCAGAATTTGCAGTGCTGACGTTCTGGGGTCATATTTGTCGGCGTGTTTTAAGGTATCCAGATGAAAGACCGTCTTGATAGCCTCGCGGAAGGTGACCGTCTTTTCTGCCCACGTGCCGCCACAAAAACTATCGCAGACGCTGTTTTGTAGTAACCCAGCCCCACTCCGGAGGGGCGGAACGTCTTTGATTTATTCAAATCTTGCAGTCACATATTCACACCAAGGAAAACATGAGGAGGCTGGGAAGCTACAGCTGAAAGTCTTGGATCTGTGTACAAGGGTGTTGGGGCCAGAACATCCAGATACATTGAGCGGCATGGCAAATCTTGCAGTCACATATTCACACCAAGGAAAACATGAGGAGGCTGGGGAGCTACAGCTGAAAGTCTTGGATCTGCGTACAAGGGTGTTGGGGCCAGAACATCCAGATACATTGACCAGCATGGCAAATCTTGCAGTCACATATTCAGACCAAGAAAAACATGAGGAAGCTGGGAAGCTGACAGCTGAAAGTCTTGGATCTGCATACAAGGTGTTGGGGCCAGAACATCCAGATACATTGAGCAGCATGGCAAATC